CGACCTCCTGTGTATGCACTATGCAACTGTGCATGCGTGTGTGACCCCCCCCCTGCACCGCACATCTCTGCGCATGCACCCATGTCTCCCACGCATGCATCTCCACCATGCATGCAGATACCCAACAATCAGCTGGCTGGTGGGGGGTTCCCGCGCATGCACAGTGGGGCTCTTCCAGGTGACCTTTCGCATGCTGGCAGAAATGGCTCTGCGTGCCATTTCTGGCATGCGTGTCCATAGGTTCGCCATCTTGGCTCTAAATAGACATCAGCTGTAAAAGCATAGCAAGTGATAAAATTCAATATCTTGCCTTCATCCCCCCATTTCTCCAAAGCTCTTGATAATATCATGTTGATTTTTCTTCTTTTTTGAATTTCAGGGCAAAACAAATTAGTCAACATTCTGCCAGGCAGGCAGGGGAGCGTTTTCTTGTGGATGGCACTTAAGAGTTTATTATCGCATCTAGTCATTTCCTGCTGCCCTGTTAGACTATACATTTCCAAACCCTGGACATTATTTCCCTTTTTAAATTGCAGGCTGGTAAGCCCCACCGCTGTTGGTAGAAAACAGAAGCTGTGTTCCTAGAATATGCCCAGGAGAAAGCTTCACATCTTTTGATTGGTCATTTCAAGACAGATTGCTCAAGGAGTGCTTCATGGAAAAACCATTTGCTTTGCAGAGAAACCACCAGCACCAGTCACTGGAGTGCTTTAGCTCCACCTGCCTGTGTTTCCCCACTACAGAGAAGCTTTCCAGGAAAGGCAGAAGCTGGTAAGTGTTTAGAGGAAACCTCACTTCTTCCTCCCCTCCTGCCCATGCCGCACCAAGTTTCTCGTAAGCAGGCTGCTTAAATTTTTCTTCTCATTCACGTCAAACCTCAGTATGGAGCAGTATTTCAGAAGTGAATTGCTGTGACCTCTGGCATTCTGTCAGTGTTTGGAAAATAAAACCCTTAAATAAATGCATGCCTACTTTGAATTAGGACAAGGAAAAATGTAGGCTGTGGAGTTTGACACTGTTATAACATTTTCATGACTGGCCTGTAAAGTCTGCCCTTTTCTCATTCACACCCAAGGATTGCACAAAGTTGCAATGAAGGCAAAGCAGGCTGCAGGGCAAAATGGCATGGCATGCACAAGGAAAACTAGCCTATGGTAATTAGATCTTTCTCTTTTGTGGTTTTGCAATAGTGGAAAAATTGCTTCTGAAGATTATGAGGCTCTCAGGAACTGAGTGGGCTACAGAAGACATTTGTAGGAGAAGGGTAAAAGGTGAAAACATTTTATCTTCTGCTAATGGAAGCACTTTCTGCACGGCAGGAGAAGTTTAAATTGGTGCACACTATTTTCAACTGTATTTGACATTTTTATTCATGTGTCGAATCCTTTCCAAAGACCTCAGATTGGCAGTTGTTTGATGATATTACAGATATTTTTGCAGGATGTGAGCTGTTCCAAGTAATGCTGCCTTTTGCAATTGACTGATAATCAATCTGTCAAGGCCAAAGGTAATGTTGTGGTGGTGGTGATTGTTACTATTATATAAAAATCCTGAGTAAAAAACTATGTCTCTTTCAAAGGGAATCCCATGTAATTGGATTCAGTCTACTCTTATTGTAGACTTATCTAGAAGCATATCCTCTGACTTCCCCAGTGCCATCTCTATCAGATGGCCAGCCTAGACATTTATTAAAAGAATAATAATAATAAACCTTTCTTCATGTCCCTAAGACAACTCTTTGACGATCGAACCAAATACTTACTTATTCCAGAATTTTGTTTTTGCAGAACAGAAGATGAATTCAATGGCATTTTTTCATTTGTACTCCCAAGCAATTATATACTGACTTGAATATTGAGGCAATGTGTGACAATCGTGACTAATGTTATTCTTCGTAAGTATATCTAATTCTCTTTTATAACTGTCCAAATTGTGACAGTGTTAACTAAGCATAATGTGAAAGAATTATATGCCAGTGATGTAACCCCCTCACTTTGACAAGTTATATACACAGACATTTATTACAATGAGATATTAAAATACCCTACATTGACATTAATGGAAAAACATTTTAACCTTGCATTGCTGTACTGGGGAAAAATATAAGAAGTGGGTTATTACTGATCTTTCTCTTTTTAAAAAAATAAAGTGTCTGTCCGCACAGGTGCACACTTAAGCAGAAAAAAGGAGCTTAAAATAATTTCCATGTACAGAAATGGAGATCAGAAGTTACAAATACACAATCAGTAGTGTTTTCTTTTCTGCAGAAATATGAATTGGAGTGATTTAGAAAGGAAGATAAAAGCTAGATTAAGAGTCACATGGAATCTCTGCTGAAACTGAACTTCTAATAAAACATTACAACTACACACACACACACACACACACACACACATATACATACGTGCATATTTGTGTGTGTGATAAAGTTTGAAGAACAGATTGCCTTGTGCATTTTTCATATTTTTCTCAGAAGTTCTATCTTTCTAAGGGGATACCACCCTATTCCAATATCTCAAGAGAAACTAATTATATGGAACACCAAATAGTTTCTTCTTATGTCTTTTATAAAATTCTGTTTTATCTTCATTTGGGCCTAAATTCTCAGCTTTGAAGTTTTAGCCCCTACAGATTAATTTGCACACCAACATATCTGTCATGATCATCAGTCAATGTAAACTTTGGATATAACTGAGGATTTATATACAACACAACCCAAACAACAATCTGATTATGGTTAAATAATGAGTTCTTATTTCTGGGGATGTTGAATCATTGTCTGGACTGGATGGTTTCAGAAATGTCTAATGGGGTAATGGATTAGTTTTTGATATATAAATAAGAGGTGGTTATTTTTGTAATGTTTAATCATTTTTCATTTCTTTTTTGCAATGTTTAATTAAGAGAGGATGAGGAGAATGTAGACTTAATGGAAAAGGGAGCCACAGTGTATATTTGTTTTAATAGGTATTTTTTGCTAATTTTTACTGTGTCTTTATACTGATTAATAAGGAGAGTCGAACCAGTCAGAGCCAAATTTGTCAGCCAGAATCTGTGTTTTGATTTCACTGAGGCATCATCCCCCCACTTGCAGAACTATTTACAAAGCTATCTAAACTGCTATAGTAACTAACCAAGAAGCCACAATTTGTAATGTCTCCTGATGTGCTGTGAGGTGCAGTTTAGGCAAAAGAAACACTGATGATAACTTAAAATAATATTGGAAAAATTCAAGCATGTGTTAAAGGTTTTCTACTTGAAACTTTACAAGGAGGATTCTTTGCAAGCTTCCTGAACAGGCTCCTTGGAGAAAAACTTGATTCTTGTAATTCCTGATTTCCAAAGCAGGTCTTAAGCTAGCAGAGTAAAGCAAAGTAACCTTCCATTTAGCAATTTGACATAACTGACTGTAAACTGAACTGTTTTTTGGCAACTTCCATTCAATAGATTGATTTCTGCCACTCAGAGTCACCTTATGGGGGGGGACAGCATAAAACAATAAATAAATAAAAATAAATAGATTGCAATCCAACAAATCTTTTTGGGGAGCTGAATTTACAACCAGCTGAACCTGGTTGTAGATTAATCAAAACCTCTGAATCTTATGAGATGGCCAAGACTAATACAGAAAATGTATACAGAAAATGCTACAATGCCATGCAATTTGCATTTTATTTTCTTAAAAAATATTTCATTCATGGCAATGCCACCTGAATATGATAGAGGCAGAGCTGCCAGTGTACCACTTTAACCACTTACATCACAACCAACCTCATTGAATGTGCATGTTATGCATGCATGTAGAATTACAGCCTTGTTAATGTCTTGAAATCGTTTTGTGTACTGGGAATAATCCTTCAATATAACCCATTACTCTGTTCAGCCTATTGCTTTGAACTATTCCTTCTGTCAATATTTAAAGAACCATTAACCTGCCCATTAAAAACAAAAGCTGGGTTGTGAGTGAAGCTTTGTCCAAACTCACACCGTGATTGGCTAGAAAATAGATTTCAAGCAAACAATGCGATGAGAGTCAGAAACGTCAGCGAGAGCTTATGTTTGTTTGTATAGTGTGTATTCCTGACCTTGAAGCCAACAACAGAAAATGCTCACTTATCTTTCCTGCTTCGTATTGGCTAAAGGGTATTGCTACATGCAGGGTCAGTTTTCTGACTCAACAAACCAGAGAAGCTGCCTGGGGCAACACCTTTGCTGCAGTAAGAAATGGAAAGTGCTTGTTTTTTTCTAGCCCAGCCTCTGTCCAGCTTCTTCATTTGTTGGGGCAAGCCAGGACACTGAATGGTCTTTTGGGTTCAATATGCTCCAGGGGACCAGTCAGATGTCTGTTTTGGAGGCCTGGTATTTTTATCTCTAAGGTCTCTATTGGCTCTGTTGACACATGGATATTATGTTGTGCTGTAAAGCTTCTCTCAGGCTGTAAATGCATTTCTTTCCCTGGATATAGCTGAATATTAAGAAGTAGGATTGGTGGTTAACACAAAGCTCTCCAGCACTTGTCCAGAACCATCTGAACCAATTGCTATTAAATTGTATCTTCTTGCATGTATCTTGGAGCAAGGTTATAAATGAGGTTATCTTTATTGCTTTTGTTCTGAGACAACCAGCTCTCCCACAAAATCTGGGAAGAGAAGAGCACCAGGGACGTCATCTTACATCCTTTCTCAAGTGCAAAAGAAATAAGTGTTTCCTTTTCACAACATTTAGGAAAGAAAGGTCCAAATTCCTCCCAAGTTCTCAGTTGGGAAATCAAGGCTTAATCCAGGCCTCAGGATCCAGGAAATGTAGCTTTTGCTAATATTATTAACCTCATACATAAAATTCTGATGCAGGAGTTTTCTTCTCCTTCCCTCTCTTTCCGAGGGAATTACTTTACACAGTTTATAACTGTCGTTGCATTTTCTTCAGTCTTGCTATGTCACATCAGGTTTGTTCCAAAAATATATCTGTTTACTCAGCTAGGAAAAATTAACTTGAGTGCCTTTTCAAATTACATATGAAAAAGCAGTTTGATATCAGATAACATCATTCACAGAAACAATGTGAAATTTTATCAGCTCTTCAGAGAACATATTACCACTTTTTACAACTGATCGTTTATTTGGAGAAATCTTTAAAAGTGACAAAAATGTAATGAGGCCAAATTCATTCCATTCTTGCATAAATTCTTGTACTTTCTGCTGTTTCTTAAATAATTCAGACAATACCACTTTTAATTGGGACAAATTATTCCGATTCCAAAACTTCAGAGGAGGCAATTAGGCAGGAGAAACAACTTTCTTAGAGATAGGGATTTCTCTAACCACTATTACACCACCACCACCACCCTATCTGAGTCCTAGCCACAATAAACTCAAATTCTATAGTCCAGTCTTTTTCAACCTTGGCAACATTAAGATGGGTGGACTTCAACTCCCAGAATCCCCCCAGCCATCACTGTTATAGTCCATTTAGTCTTACTTTTAATTGAAATGTGCACCAGTCCACTGTGGAGGCTGAGCCTGAACAATTCTCAAGTAATATTCACTTGGAACTTTACCCAGTCATGACATTCCAGAAGTGGACAATTTCCACAAATAAAGTCCCTGCTTCTGAGTCATCATGCCTGAATGGAATCTGCCCTTAAAGAGATATGTGGTGTTGTCACACAACACCACAGAATTCCAGATCATTGGCTAAAGGCCAAGCAAGTTGTCAAATCAAGATCACTTTTTCCAGAATTATAAAAACCATGGGCCTTTGGAGCCCAAATGCAGAAAATAGGTCCTATTTTGTCTACAGTGGATGTGAAGATAATACATTTCCTCCATAGATTGTGTTGCATTCTTAATATATATGTAGCATTGCTGAGCCCATTGAAACTCTATTTTGTGATAAACTGGCCAACATTTGCAGAATATAATAAGCCAGGGCTGTCAAACTCACGGCCAGATGCTTCACATGCTGGGCATGCCCATGCCGGGTTTAACAAAGGGGGAAAAAGTTGCAATATGTTATGTGACACTGCGAGTTTGATATCCCTGCAATAAGCCAAATCTGGCTTTTACCTCAGGTAAATAAGTTACCCAGTGATATGACAACAGGTGATATAGGGAAACAGTGGCTGTCCTATCTACATTGGGAAAAGTCAACTTGGGCAATATCTTAGTTGTTTTGGTAGTGGCTAATAAAATGTTATCTCGCTTTTCTTTTGTATGGATAAAATACACAAGGAATCATGGTGGCGCAGTGGATAGAATGCAGTACTGCAAGCTACTTCTGCTGACTGCCGGCTGTCTGCAGTTCGGCAATTCAATTCTCACCGGCTCAAGGTTGACTCAGCCTTCCATCCTTCCAAGGTCAGTAAAATGAGGACCCAGATTGTTGGGTGCAATATGCTGACTCTGGAAACTGCTTAGAGAGGGCTGTAAAAGCACTGTAAAACAGTATATAAGTCTAAGTGGTATTGCTAGTGCTACCCAATGGGAATTCAACACATCAAAAGTGGCATAGGAAGTCTTTGCTTCCCCATAACTTTTCTGCCTATATATCACAACCCTGTTTACATATTATAATCTTTCAATTTTCTGTCCAGGGCCAGAAGAGAGCATTAACCTCAGGTTAATCCTTACTTCTACAATGTGGACAATCAAAGAAGTTTAGGATTATGTAAACTGTCTGCTGGCTGACTCTGGGACTCTGGAGTTAGAGCATGAGGCTGGTCCAGAAATGATCAGACAGCAGAGTTCACATTACTTGTTTAGTCTTTTATTGCATGCAAACACTGCCATTCTTTATACATCTTCACCTAGTTCTTGGTGTTGACTTCCTTTCTATTTAGCAAGGTGATAAATTTGACCTGGCCAAGTATGAACTTGAACATGAGCCACATTTTTCTTTTATGTTGAGATGCCGTTTCTCTCTTGTCTGTAATTTGTTTCAACTATCTTACTGAATTGAGTTGATAAGAAACTGGTTTTCATTCCCATCACCTTCTAGGAAATGAAAGAGTTGGATAAATTTTCATAGATGAGATTTTCATAGAGTGGATTCCACAAACTACCAAATGTGGCCCTTCTGGGACAGTTCTAAATTATAGATCTAACAATGTTTTAATGTGCACAATATGGTTTTAATAGATTTGTGCTATGTTGTTTTAATTGTGGATTGGGATCTGGGCAGAGTTCAACATGTTTGGTGTAGTGCTTAAGGCACCAGGTTAGGAGGCTCTGAGTTTTAGTCTTATTTTAGGATGAAAGCCAGTTGGGTGACTTTGGGCCAGTCAAATCTATCTCAGCCCAACTCATCTTACATGGTTATTTTTACACTTGGCCAATAAAGTGTTCTGTTCTGTTCTGTTCTGTTCTGTTCTACTCTGCTCTACTCTACTCTACTCTACTCTACTCTACTCTACTCTACTCTATTAGAAAAATAGGAGAAGGTAGGGGTATTGTGCATGTTCACCATCTTGAGTTATTTGTAGTGGGATATAAATAAATAAGATGGGCAGATATAAAAATGCTTTTAATGTAAATAAATAAAACAAACAAACTTCCTTTTAAAAGAAAGGGAAAGATTCAAAAGGATTAACTGCCCTTTAACTGACAATGACCAATGGGAAAACATAATTGAGTAAGTAGAAGTAATGGGAACATTATGTGACAATAAATGTGAAATGCTGGAGTTTTTGAATCTAAGAGAAGCCTAAAGCCATTGCTACTGAAAATGTATGTTGAACTTTGAAAAAGTATAATTTAATACAATAAAAATAATGATTAGTAGGATTCCGTGGGAAGAAAAGCTAATAAGGAAAGAGGTTCAAGATAGCCAGGAGTTTCTAAACCTAGAGGTACTAAAAGCTCAATTTCAGTGAAAAAATGCAGAATTATAGTAGCAGATTGCAGAAATATAATGACGTTCTGAAAACAAAAATAAGGGTGGAAGAAGTGGAAAGAGAATTGGTAACTGAGGAAGAGGACATGCAGGTAGTTTACAATTGTGAAGGTCAGGAAAGCAAAACCCAGAATAAACAAACGTTGGGGAATGAACGTCAGAAAAAGGCAAAGTGTTTCTTCCCATATGTTAAAATGAAGGGAGAAAAATCAGTATACCTGCTGCTCAATACAGATGGCAAAATATTAACAGCAGAAAAGTCAGATGAATGTGAGTGGGCAGTAGCTAAGTGGTTCAGTACTATATTGGGTTGCATCAACAAAAACTGCACTCAGATCCTAGAGTCTGTCGCCGTGTGTGTGTAGAGTCTGTGGCTGTGTGTGTGTGTGTGTGTGTGTTAGTTTCACTATGTGCTATGTGCTGGAACTGATTAGAATTTGGTGGAAATCCCAGTAAGACCTGAAGAAAAGGCAAATCACTTTAGTATTCTGTAAACTTCTCAGTAGCAGAACCCACTGAGAAGACTCAAAGTGGGCATTTCAAAGGATATGGCTAGGGATGCTTTGGGTGATATTAAAAGCCCTACTGTCTAAGTGGGAGGAAAAATATTAAATTACGAAACCCCAGAAGTGAACCTATTCAAGAATTATCCCACTTAGCACTAGCACTTAGACTTATACACTGCTTCACAGTGCTTTACAGCCCTCTCTAAGTAGTTTCCAGAGTCAGCATATTGCCCCCAACAATCTGGGTCCTCATTTTACCCACCTCGGAAGGATGGAAGGCCGAGTCAACCTTGACCCAGTGAGAATCAAACTGCCGACTGACAGCAGAATTAGCCTGCAGTACTGCATTCTAACCACTGCGCCACCACTTGCCACTTTGTCTGTGCTCCACATGATGGATTGGCATCACCACAGATCTGTCACTTGCCCAATTCTACTTTTAACAATATGATACAGTAACTTAGAGGTATTCCACTATTAACAATTCTACAGCTCTGGCTGAAAGAGACATTGGCCAACCTAGCTAATATCTCATGAGTTTTGCATTTATTGTTCATGCATTTATTTATTATCACCCTGCTCGTATTAATAAGGACATCCCGAGGAAAACCAATGGTATATAGATATATAATAAAGAAATATCCAAAGATAAGCTCAAGATTCCTGTTCTCAGTTGTACTCTGTAAACCCCAGTCCACCCCTAAAATGACTTGAATAGTTTGGAGGTTACCCAGTGCAGAAAGTCTGATATTGTTAGTCCTTCCCACCTTCTGGAATGTGAGAAGATAAATGACATCCTCAGTGCAGAATGCTGAAAGGCCCTGGAGTACAGCTGTGTCATCATAGGGCTGGAATGTACAGTATTGCTGGATCTGTGAAGGGAGCTTTGGACCGAGACGTGTACCAGATCAACAGCACCTGCCTCCAGGAGGACAGCTCAGCTGTTGTGAGAGCTGATGTTCTAAATTTAAGGGATGCATATGCTTGATTCTATTTAGTCATCTGCAGATACCATTTAGAAGGGGAAAGTGTTGTTTGTTTTTATAATGGCTGTACTTCTGAAATGGGAAAAAATAATCCCAGGCTCTTTTGATAGTTATATCTAGAATGACACATTAAAAAAGGAAAGAATGCTGATTTAAGTATGGTTTGTGGTACACACAGGCTTGTAAGAGGATCTAGGAATTGAATAATGCCAGATAATTCACTTTTGTAAATATTAGATGACTGCACATACCATAGAAACTCATAACTTTCTCACCTTCTGTTTTATGCTTCTTGTAACATCTGAATTTGATACATAAATTCTTTCCATAGAATTCCAAAATGGCTATGTACAGAGGGCATAACAATATTATGTTTGTTCTTTTGGACATATTCAAGTATGAAAGACATATGCTAAATGTGCTTTATTAATCATGACGGGAATTAAGATACTGTAGCATACTTTCAGGATGAATGGATGCCAAAAGCCTTCTTTAAATTCCTTCCCTGTGCTGGCAAGGAAGATTGAACTAGCTGTGACAGATACTTATGTACATTCATGTTAGCAGTAACAGAAAGTTTAACATGTTTTAAAGGGCCAGGGCAAGATATTTTTAATATATCAATAGAACAATCCTACAATCCTCCTTTTTAACCATATACCATTTTTTCATCAATTGACATTCGCCAGAAACCTTGGATTATATAACCACTGTCACAATTAACTATTCTGGTTGAAGATTATGAGTACTGGAATCTAGCAGGCATGGGAACCAAAGTGGCCTGGAAAAGGTTGTTAGAATGAGGCCAGAGAAGTGGTCAGAAATCATTTCTAAGATGCTTAGCTTATAGAGTTAGACACAATGTTTTTTTCAGAATTATCCATCAGTTTTTTAGCCAGATTAGATATGACCTGACAAATGCTCAGTTTTCCTGAAGAATTCCTCAAGGACAGGTGTTTTCTTTAGCAAAGATAATGGCACTGTGATTGAATAAGCCCAATAGATTTTCATGATGACAACTTCCTTTGGGATTTAATTAAAATGTGAGAAGCCAGGAAAGAGGAAGATAGCAGAAATATTGATTATATAAAGCGAGCAAGGGTATCTCATATCTGTGGGAATGTAAGTAGAGCACACTGCATTCATGATTTCTCCAAAAATCTTTCCTTCAAAAGGAATGTCCAAAGCAAAATTTCTTCCATCACACTGAACACCAGTAAGTTATTTTTTCTGTTTGTAGTACTTGCTAAGAAATATTGAGCCAATAAATCTTTCCAACTTCCATCCAATATTTCTTTCAAAAGAACTTTCCCCAACAATGAACTTTCCCTAACTAATTTGGGACACCAGCTGCATTTAACCATCCATTGAGGAGGTTGAGCATTGCAACACATGGTTTAGGCAAGTTTAGGGAATTACCTCTTTCAAAAGTCATGCTCCTTGCTTTGTGAACAATAGTGGAATCAGGTGGGAGACATTTAATATTGGTTGCTACATTGTTATTGTGGCTTCATATATATTAACAAGCGACTTTTGCTGTTTCATTCTTGAATTGTGTCTCATCCAACTAAGCTGTCATTGGGCCTACTGAAGAGAGGTCAAAAAATTTGAGATCTTGGCTGGGACCACATGACTGAAGCTTTACTCCTTTTTATGTATACCACAAGTCTTTAATTGACATCTTGACATTTTTGATCAGCCTGGCAAATGTCCCTGCTGTCAGAAAGCTCTCTTGTGTAGAGCTCCTGTTTTCCAGGAGTTACAAGCATGTTTCCTGAATCTTTCTTCTAGTCATGTTCACATTTTCATGACTGAAGTTTAAGGAAAAACAAGCAAGGAAAGGAATGGAACTAGCAGCACTATCAGGTCTGACATCCATTTCATCATTTTGGCAAAAGTAGCACAATTCTGCTGATGCGTCTGGCTAAGGTGCTTTTCCAGATACAGTCTTTATTATACTTATTGATTGAAGCACTGATTGCAACATTGATTAAAGGTAGTCCTGAAGTTGCAGCTATAATGAAGCCTGCCCATCATGGTTGTAACTTTTGGTACAACCATATAAAGTGGATTGGTCATGTGGTGCTTGTTAAGCAAATGTTGCAGTGGTTTGCAGTGGGTGCGGTTTTGCTGAAAACTGGAAGAAAAGGCTGGTTTTCAGAAAAAGCGTCATAAAATCCAATCACATGACCACGGGATGCTGCAAATGGCTATAAATAGCGAGCATCCAAAGTGTGGTCACATGACCTTGTGGGGAAGTGTTGGAATAATAACCCCAGGTTGTAAGTATCCACACAGGTAGGTCCGTTGGAACTTTGAATGGTCATTAAAAGATCAGTTATAAACCAAGGATGCCCAAAATGATTTAAGTTCCCATCAGTGGTTTCCAGGGAAGGTGTGCAAAATGCAGAAGTGGTGTCACAATGCAATAAGCCCTACTGCTTTTGAATGTGCTATGATGCTACATGCCCATAAAAAGAGGAAGCAAGGCTTTCATTGTACAGTTGCTTCCTTCTCTCTACCCGACTCCCCAGAGGCCACTGCTCATTTGAATCATTTTAAACATGGAGTGTTTTGCGTATCTCTGCTAATGCTGAGTTGGGATAGTGGAGGTGACAGTTATGTAGAGCTATTCAGCCCACATCACTCAGTGTAAAGCTGGATTATTGGATTTGGAAAGGAGAATTTGTAGATCTAATGCATCTGGTAGTTTCTTCCATTATGTACTTTGGCCATGCATCCATGGAACTCATTCTGGTGTCCCATAGTCTACATTACTATGCTCTGCAACATGACAGCATACGCATCATTTGCCTATTTGTGTCCAAACCCCCAAGCATACTTATGGGGGTAACCCCATGCTGAAAATAGCAGCATGGGGTCTTTCAAGAAGATAATTGTGCTGAGATTAGGAAAGTGTGAAATACATTAGGTATTTCTTTGTAGCATATATAAGCTTTGAATCTGCTTACTCAGATTGCTCTTAATTGGATTCCACTGCCCTATGAAGGGACTTCTCATATGTTTGTTAAAAAAAAAAGTTAAATTGGCAATTGGAATATTGCAGGAGCCAATGTATTCAGAAAGAAAATGCAGAGTCAGTTTTAGATGGTTATCCAATCATAAAATAACTCCTGGCAGTGTTTCTCCAGATAATTACTTTTTTGAAAGAAGAAAAATCTTCACATAATATATATTGCAACAGGCTTAATCTTGCCACTTCTCACTGCTTCAGGATTTCAAATAAACATACTGTAAGCTTTGGCGCCAGGTTGCCTAGCTGAACTACCCAAAAAGGTATCGCTTGTGTGTCAACAATGTTTTAATGCCAGAGCCAGATTACAGTCTAGGTAAAATGAAAGTGCTTATGAGGCTACAAAAACTACTTTGGAAGTTAAATCCATCTGTGCATTCCTTAGGAGCAAGTGCCAGTTTGCAATTCTATTAAGCCTTTATCTACAGTATGTGCACCTAGACAGGAAGCATTTATGGCTGATATCAGTATCATGTTTTGAACAGTGCAGTAATAGCCTCATGTATTGGATCTTTGCAGATAGTAGAATTGCAAACATAATCTACCAAGCCCATGACATACATACAGATGTACATACATACATACATACATACTCATAATCCATTTACTTATTTGATCTTCCATTTTAATGCTCAGTTTATTTACTTTTTCCAGAATCTTTTAAAATCTCCTCTGTCTTCTGATTACTTTTATATCACTACAATCAAATGATATGGGGTTCCTCAGATAAGATAAGTCTTTTGGTTTCTATAAGGAAGAAGGTTTCAAGTTCTACTCGATTTAGGTCCACAAAGACTTGTGTTCCATTCTGAATATTCATCCCAGTCAGGTCAGCCAATATTAATAAGCAGGTATAATATTCACTTAATACATGTTGAGGAGAGGTGAGCAGAATACTTCTGTCAATTTTCTTCCACAATATTAAAAGCTGATATATTTGGCTAGCACTTCAAAGAAACCGGAGGCTTCATGAAAAAAACTGTCCAATAGTCAAACATTTTTTAAAGTTACCAAGTCAGATGAAGGGAAGACTGTTAATTAATGGAAACTTGCAATACAAGCCACTATACCTTATGAGGTTACTAAATATAATACCTGCTGATGTGGCATCTCTTCCTGTTGTTCATTCTGATAAAAAAGTTGGAGGTATTAGAAATGCTTGGTATGTTAAAATGCATGATGCAAGGTATTTTTATTAAAAGAAGGGATGAAAAAGTGGAAAAGGTGATAAAGTACAATAAAAATAGGACATTTAAGTTTGAGATTGTTCTAGAACAGGGTTCTGATTTACTCAGATACTTTCGGAATTTGGCTTCCTAATGAATGGTTGTGTTTCCTGTTTATTTTTATGCTAGAACTTGACCTAAGATTGTCAGATACTCCATTTTTATTTTTGTCACAAATTAAGGCTATCGGTGGTGGCTGCAATAGCCAAGCAAAGTTAGGGTTAAAATATTTTTTTTCATAAACACATGGAAGGTGATTGGTGAAGTAACCAGCTGCAAATGCGTTTAGATGGGTTTCCCCTTTAACAGAGGACATGGATTTTTTTAAAAAAAAAATCTACTTATTTTTGGAATTTTTCTTCTTAATCCTGTGAATAAATCCATTTCTCTTTCAGGATCCTTTGAAAATGTATGCACTTTTTCACCTGGGACAAAATTCTTCTTGACTCTATAAGCTATCAAGAGGTCATTGGTTGATTATTTGCCATCAAGTCATTTTCCCTTCCTAGCAGATACATAGATTTTTTTTAACCATGATAACCTAATTTGGCTTTTCAAATCTGACAACGGTGTATCCATCACCACTGCTGCTGCTTATCCTCTTCTTTTCTTCTTTTCTGCTCATCCTCTTTTCTTCCTTCCACCTTTCCCAGCATTAGAGCTAAATTTTCACCTATGTGCAGATCAAGGGCTCATTACAAGTTATGAAATCTTAAGCTGAAATATACGTCTCAATTAATGCAAAATGATATTAAGGTTAGGTGGATTCAGTTAAGATATTCTTCACTAGGTATTTATGATTCAACTTTCTTGATCTATCTGGGACACATTGCTTAATTTTAATTATATTGTACATAATCTCATATGCCCTGCTGAGCTTACCCATGGAATAATGTCATTCTATTCTCACCAGTATGCTGTATTCCTACCACCACTTACTTACTTAACTTTCTGAGTCCCGTAATATTTATTTTTATTCATTTTATTTATTTATTTGTCAAGCAAGTATTAGATAACAAGTATAAGCATGGTTATGAATACATAAAATGGATACGAGTAAAAAGAAACAATAGGACAGGGACAGTAGGCACGTTGGTGCACTTATGCATGCCCCCTGCAGACCTCTTAGGAAAGGGGTGAGGTCAATAGTAGACAGTCTGAGGTTAAAGTTTTGGGGATTTGGGGAAGAAATATTGCTGTAGCAGTCACCACAGACAGAATTCTGAATTCATATGAATCCAAACACATGCTCAAAAGTACGTATCAGAGCAGTTTCAGATTTCAGCTTATGCCAATTTGATGTTTATATGTGAGGTATGCTTGCTTGTTGGAGTAATCCAGGAGACCTAGGCAGTTTGCCAAACTAGCATCATAACATTCTACTTCCTTGCCCATGTTATATTTGCAGAAAGTAAATTCTGAATTTCATATTGACTCCTGACAAGTACTTAAACTGAAACCCTGCAGCTTTCTTGGCAAGATGCTTTTTGGTGTACTGTGGTTCTGGGGCTGCTTTCCCTCCATCCTCACATAACAAAGGCCAGCTCTAGCCTACCTCAGGAGCATTGCCACACTGTGGTTCTGGGGCTATTTTTTGTCCCTGCCCCCCCGATATCATGAAGCACAATCTCAGCTTAACCCAGCGGCTAGATCAGACATACCTTGTTGTCTATGGAGATGCTGCAATGTGCAAAATCAGGAATGGATCATAACTCTGTTCTTTCAGTACCACCATAACTTCAAACAGTCACTGAACGAAGAGTCTTAAGTCAAGGACTACCTGCATATATTTTATGGGACTTTAAACCAGTGGTGGGATTCAAATATTTTTACCAATGGTTTGGTGGGCGTGGCTTGGAGGGCATGTTTTGCGTACATGCACACACTTGGCGTGCGCGCACCAAACACGCACTTTGCACAGGCGCAGAGGCGTTCTGACTCGCCTCCTGCAAGATCGCAGTCACTTCATCAGCTACTATGCAGCACTATTCTGTGGCGTGCAAAGTAGCTGCGCTTCAAATTCAGAGGATAAAGGTGAGTATGGGAATCCTGGGCGGGCAGGCGGGTGGGCCCAACAGCAGAGTGGTGGAGAAAACCAGTTTGGTCTCTGCTGCTCATTGCAGCTCAGCAGAACAGGGCCGAACCGGTAGAATACCATCATTGCTTTAAACTGATCGTTGCAACTACTAATCTCATGTGGTGGTGAATTGTATGTAGGTGTTTTCCTGAAGTCTGAACTATAAGAGCAACATGGAATTATTTGAAAAGCAATAACTCTCCTATTCAGAACACACAATGTTGACAAGTGATGTAAAGAAGCACAGCTCCGTTACTGCTTTAACTTTGCCAAATATTCTTTGCAACTGTCAGTTAACTGTCAGTTAGCAACACTTTGAAGACAATTTCATTTTTTTTCAAGTAACAGAGTATGTCTAAGCTGCCAAGCCATTGTTCTTTTCTTTTAGAAATGTAACACAAACTGTAGCAACTAACCATACTACATAAACACTTATCATAAAGTTCTCCACTGAACACCTCACATAAATTATGGCTGAATACATTCTGATGCAGTGTTACTTGTGAAACAGTTTCCTTTACATCACAGGAGAACATAAACAAAATAAACCACCTACATGTTTCTTCCTGTAGGTATGTAGGAAGTCCTGGTTCCAGTTCCAAGGAGCGGGTCTGAATGCAGTAAGTTTTTCAACAAAGGAAGAAGCAGAATAAAGTTGATGAATTAATAGAATGTATCAGAATCCGTGATTCAGTTCGTCTGGGAGGAAATTGAGACAATAGTTTTGCTGTCCTACTATTGCCATTAATTAATATAGGAGCAAGGAACTTTAGGCCAGTCTTTGTGAATTCCAGCAGGCCTCTCCCACAAAAGTCTTCTGAAGTTTCATGTTTTTGCTTCCTAACAGGTACAGAGACATCAGAAAACAGGCTGACAGGTGCACATGTGATCCATGCAATGCAGGTGAGGCAGCCGGGCTACAAGTTCCAATAAAAGCAGTGATAGGATTCAATTTTTTTTTTACTACCGGTTCTTTGGGCGGGCTTGGTGGGTGGGGCAGGGGAACGATATTATAAAATCTCCAGTCAGAGGTGGTATTTGCTGGTTCTGCGAACGACTCAAAATTTCTGCTTCTGGTTCTCCAGAACTGATCAGAACCAGAGGTGGTATTCAGCAGGTTCTGACCAGTTCTGGAGAACTGGTAGCAGAAATTTTGAATAGTTTGGAAAACTGGCAAACACCACCTCTGACTGGAGATTTTACAGTATCTTTCCCCTGCCACGCCCACCAAGCCACGCTCACAGAACCAGTAGTTAAATTTTTTTGAATCCCACCACTGATCAGAACCTGCTAAATACCACCTCTGAATAAAATATGCCATGCACTCAGGTCCTACTCCCAAATTCTCAATCTACTTTAAGAGAAATGGTAGAATGAACAAATACAGAGAAAGTAAAAGAACCAGAAACTGTATAATGTGAATTAAATAATTGGTTTAAATAGAGATGGATGAAGAGAAGTGAATTTTTTTCCCTTCAGCTGAAAGCTGATTATATAATTTTGAAGCAATGTTGGACAAAGTATTGGTTGCTTTCAGCTGTTTTGATTCCAACTTCTCATTTTTTGCTAAGGCTACGCTCACCGTAAGGAATGATTATTGATATTTTTAATCTCCTTTTCATGCCCTGTATGATACCTGCTCATCTCTTTTGCAAAGTTATGGGAGGTTTTAAGCTAACTCTCCTGAGTCAGGTATTCTCCAGATGCATTGATCTACATCTTCTAAAGTACATGGCCAATAGGCATTATTATTCAGGCTGATGGAACTTGCATCTGGGAAGTTCCATTGTTATTTTTTACTGTTTAGAAAAATAAAACCACAGCATCACTCCTGGGGAGAGATAAGGCAATTAAGGAGGGAAACATTAATTGAATCCTTCTTACCTTCTGGCCTATTTGTAAGTGAATGGCAGTTTGTTCCTTCCAAAACCAAGAGCTCACCCACTTCCTTGTCATTCCATTCCATACAGTTCAGATGAATCTGTTACTTGCTGTTTACATACATGTCCCTTTTTCAAGAATGGAATGGAACAACTCATCAGGGTCAACTTGCCACTGTCAACTCACCATGGGACAATTTGCCATGGGACAACATACTGCAGGACAATTCAACAATTCCATTTAATCATTTAAAATAATTTTAAAAATATTTTAATTTTTGTCATTCACACTTCATTTTGTCCCTTCTTTGGCATCCTTTCTTTAATGATTCTATTCCACTAGTATAACTCTTATTCCATGTGAGTTTTCCAATGGCCACAGCAAGTTGGCTACCATGAGTTGGCCATAGCGAGATGGCGATCACGAACTGTCATAGACTCTCCAAGAATTGTTGAGATTCCAAATCAATGCTTACCAGTCACCTTCCCTTCCTCTCTCCTCAGACATGTTCAGAGACAATGAATCTTGATATATACTGTACTATTCTTGAGCCAGATCAAAATTCCCAGGCCATAATTCTGTGGAAGGAAAAATGTAGCTATTTAATTACCTGAAAGATTACTGTACATGGAATCATGCCACTTTCTTTAGCAGCTGTCTTTCAGACGTTAGGATTCTCTGTCTCTTTCAAATGTCCAATAGAAACAATAAGATGGTTTCAATCTCCTGGGTATCTTTAATACCTGCACTAAGTATAGAAACATGGATAGTAATTAGATACAATTATAGTAATCATAGCCTACTAAAAAGGAAACGAGTGGTACAATAAAGGAACTTCATAAATGAAATTCAAGGTATTTTTAAACCAGGCAGGGAAAACAGCTGGAATTCCTTTCAAATCTTTTGCCAAGGGGACTTGTTGGAGGCATCCATCCTTTGTTCTGTGTAATAGAGTAATGGCGAGGGAGTATTATTGTGTTATACATACTTGTGTGTGCATGTGTGCACTGGGAAGCTTGGGGTCTGGCTGCATGTACTCTTTTGTGTGTGCAGGAGACAATGGGACTTAGGACAGAGCAGTCAATGGCCTTTTGAGCTGCTGTTTCATTTCTTCTTTCAGAGGGATGCACTCGGAGAGTTTTTTTGATTCCCCCCCCCCCCCTGCTCTTGACTTGATCTCGCCCATTTTTAATCTTCCTTTGGTAGTTTTCAGACCAAATTTGACCCAGCTCTGTTGTGTTTTGGGAATGTTAGCTCAACTTACCTGAGGGGAAAAAGTCAGGGTCCTGATCCCTTTTGTATAATTTATTTCCAACATTTCTTTGGTTTGAAAAGAAGAACAATGGATCTAAAAGATCAATAAAGCTATATCATGTCTGTATGATTCATGGTCCTTTATAGGTGCAGCTTCATTACTTTAAGCTTTAAAGTTTTTAAAATATTTCTTCCCTACCACAGGGCACCCTTCATGATATATTGCATTATGCTTACCTATTAAAAATGCAAGCAGAGCTTACCTAATCAGACCTATTTAGGAAAGTGTCTTGTGACCCACAGGAGCCAAAAAAAGTACAACTGAGAACCTGCATATGGTTAGGCTATTGGTAGCTAAAGTGACCACAGGCGTATATCAATTAATGACTATATAATGGAAGATACCAGCTGACTAAAATTAGCAAAAATTTATTCATTAAGTCCAGATGCATACAACATTAGAGAGTCCCCTCCCATTCAGCTGTGGTGAGCATATAGAACAGAAAGCTAAGAGCCATACTTGGCACATACCTTGGGCAAGTTTTTTTTTTTAATGAAGTTTTATTGAGTTTTAACAAAACAAATAAAACATCTTATTTGAGTTCAGCATGGTTCCGGGTTATCACATTTCCATACAGACACAATTTCATATGCATATTCATCTTATGTATTCAACTTCATATCTTATTACTCTTTTTCCAACTTCTCACTATTTCTCCCTTTACTTCTCTTAATTTCCTTTTATGGTTATCTCATTTTCTTCTTATTCAATTGTATTTCTTTTACCTAAATTTCTATATCTTTTTATTCATTGTACTTATACTTTCGTCTGTCTTGTTTACAATTTCATATGTTCTCTTCCAACATTTTTAAGAAACAAAATTCCCCCTATGATTGCCAATCGAAGTGCAACACCTTTAAATCTTATTGTTATTATATGAAATCTCATTAAACATTGAATTTGTACATTCTAAAATTATAACCTTCAAATTTCTAATATCTATTTTATATCATGTAAAATCTCATCATTCATTTCAAAAAATTCAAATACGAAGCCAAAAGATCTTCCTCCCCTTTCTGCATCTTCTTTCTGTTTTTTAAGATTCATCTGCAATTCCTCCAGGAGTAATGGCATTTTAAACCCTTTTGAACAACCACCCGATTGACTTTAAGTAAAAACAGAAAAAGAAAGAAAAAACCAATGCCAAAACTTTTTTTAAAAATCATCAAATGATCCCAGACTGTTCCTTCTTGTTTCTTTCCTTTACTTTTCCTTTCCATGGGTTACTGTATCTTTTAATAAGATTTCAGTTACAATGTATCCTCAGGAGTCTTTTCAAAGTTTCACTGTTAATCCTCTTTATTTTTCCAGGTGGCATTCCATTTTTCCATTATTCCAAGTCCCACCCTTTTACCTCCACTCTTCTCCTTTTTAGGGCTTTAAAATGACCAAGACAAAATCTTTATTCTTCTTTTGACACTTAGATTTCAGCTTAAGGTTGCCTATTAGTATAAAAATAGATAAATATAAATTTCTTTCCATACCATTTGTAATTGTCAATATAAAGGTTAAAAGGGGGGTTTTAACCTCCTTTTCTCTCTCCTTTGCCGCTAAAAGATCTTCTTTTAGAAGTATCCCTCTAGGTACTTTTAGATTCAGGGTACCTTGCTTAGTTGTTCTCTGTTGTTTAGCTTGGTCTGTCCTGCTTTCCTCTTTGTCTTCCTCCTGCACAATCTTATCCAGTCGGGTTCTTCTTTGAGGTGGCCATTTTGGACCACCGCTGCAACCGCCTTCAGGGAAGGGAGTTTAGACCAGCCAAGGAGGAGAGATGTGGCTCCCCTCCACTCAGCTAGCAATCTCCCCCCTCTTCACCATCTCTACGGGGTGGCTTCAGCCCCGAATCCAAAGGATCGGGGTGCTCCAGCGGTGAGCACAGATTGAAACCGTGCACAATCACGGATTTCGGTCTGTCACTGAAGAAATCCTTCCGGTTTTACCTTGGGCAAGTTTTATAGCCTTTCAACCAGAGGTGGTATTCAGCAGGTTCTGACCAGTTCTGGAGAACCAGTAGCGGAAATTTTGAGTAGTTCAGAGAACCAGAAAATACTACCTCTAACTGGAGATGTTACAGTATCCTTCCCCTTCCACGCCCACCAAGCCACGCCCACCAAGCCACACTCACAGAACCGGTAGTAAAAAAAATTAAATCCCACCACTGCTTTCAACCATTCTCGTCATTTCAAATCCCCACAAGCCTGGAGTTGCTAAGCTTAGGCAAAGAAAGGTTATTGAGGATTATTATTATTAGTGAGTATTATTATTAGTGAATATTAGCTGTTAGTGATGGTTGTTATTAGTGAAGATAGCTATGTTGTTAAGTGTCTAGCTGTAATTAGGCACCTAGTTAAGGCAAATGTGGAAAATATCATCTAATTGAAGATGGGAGTTCGCTATCTTGCATCTCACACCAAGAACAGCTTGCTAGTTGGGGAAGCCAAATAGGAAGAGCTCACTTGTCTAAGCAGCTTCTCTTCCCCATGTTAATTAAATTGTGGTAGTGGGGTATTTTCAATGTGCAATATTTTGTATATCCACCACTAAAAAGTTCCAAAGACTCTAATCTTTCATAATTTCAGAACTGCTATAATTCCCTTGCCAACTTTTTTTTAGGGGGAATGGGGTTTTTATATTGGCAAAAACATGCCCCAGTGTTCCAAATGCAATTATAATATAAACAAAAGCTTGATTGCACTAGCATCCTTTTTCAATCCCTTTCTCAATTCCATCCAAATTTTTACAGAACAGAACTATTGAGTTATCTACAATTTATTATTATTATTATTATTATTATTATTATTATTATTATTATTATTATTAACTGGCATAGTTGGTTGATATGGGTTGCTGCCAGCATCCTAGGTATCGACCAAGTATCTTCTTAAAACGTAGCATAGTTTTTTGCAGTTCTGCTGGTGTTATTGCAGGAAATTGTAATTTCTTGATGTATTTTGTAAAATTCTTCAACATGGTGACATGTGCTCTGATGACATTGGGTATCACTATTGCATGTTTCATCCATAATTGTGCAGTTTCGATGTCCAGGTCACAATATTTTGTAATTTTTCCCAGTTCTTTTTCTTTGACTCTGGCATCTCCTGGTACAATGATATCAATAAATTGTACGCTTCAGCTCTCAACAATTGTAATATCTGGCATGTTGTGTTCCAAATGGCGATCTGTCTGAATTTGAAAGTCCCACAAGATCTTTACCGGTTCATTTGCGACAACTTTTTCCACTTTATGTTCCCATGACTTTTCAGTCGGATGGGGTATATTTTTTACATAATGACCACTGGATTAATTCAGCAACTTGATCAACTTTGTAGTCAGTTTGTGCAATTTTGCTGCACTTGCATATTAAGTGTGAAACAGTTTCAACTTTGTCATTGCAAAGTTGGCAGTTTGGCTTATCAGTGGATTTTTGAATCTTTGCTTTCATGGCATTTGTTTGTAGTGCTTGTTCTTGAGCAGCAAGTATTAAAT